GAACAGAAAAATGAAAACTTCTCGTGCAATTATAGCAACAAGGCAGCAGCCATAATGTATAAAACCCCAGAGTACAAATTGTATAATTAGGTCACTGAGAAGATAGCAGATTCTCAGTTTTTTTAAAAAGGGTATTACTTCCGTGCAAACAGTGTCCCCAAAATAGGGTGGGGATTCTAGTGAATGAGGGAAAATGAATAGTACCACTGACAAGGGCAATAAACAGGCAATAAAGTAAATAGCTTTTAGATAGTGGTTCTTAGTCTCTCAGCAGCAAAATATAAATTACACAGAGATCTGTGACAAACAGTGAAAGGAGGTGGTTAGTGCCAAACAAAACTGTACAGTAGGCTCAAAATCTTAGTATTTAATTATTTCATTGTTTTATTACTGTGGCTGAATCTTCAGCTCTTTATTATCAGAGCTGGCCAGATCCAGTTCTGTTCCCTTAAGGTTAAGCTGACAAGCAGCCCATGCATATTTGCCAGATAAAGACTAGTCGCTATTCAATTGCAAATAAGAGACTCATTGCACCTTCTCTCCAGAGAGCAATAAAAGCAGACCTTTCCAGATCAGACTTCTCCAATTCACACCTTTGAAACACCCATTCGTCCCTTTTCACATGCACTTGTTCTTACCCAGAATCGCCCTAGTAGGCCATTTTCCATGTAGCTAAAGAAATGTATTACAGTATTTTCCCCGAAGGCTTTCCGGCAGGGATCTGGTGATCCCTGTATTATTTTCTTTAAAGGTGTACAGTATATCATTATAAGTCAGTTAGGGTGGATTTACTTGTTTTATTTACCATGAAACCAGTAACATGTGCAGCCCCACATCAGCTCACGATCTTTTTTATTTATTTAATTTATCTATCTATCTACTGTATTTATTTATTTTATTTTATTTAATCACTTATACCGACAAAGGCATGCCTAAAAAGGCAACTTCTACTGCTGACCTGCAGTAATCATATCTGTAAATTACCCCAAATTAAACATATCTCACGCAAGGATCTTTGTATCTTATTAGGAATAACCTGTGCTGGCATGTTACCAGCATATATAAAGGTAGTCTTAGCTACTCAGAGGCCAAATATCTGTGACAGATAAATCTTCTTCATTTGTAAAGAAGGCAAACATGAGAAATCTAATCTGCTAAACGTAGCTGAAGGAAGATGGCAGCAAATATAGGCAAACAACAAGATGCAATGCCACCGCTCTTACAGACAGGATAAATGAAGCAAAAAGCTCTGGGCTAAAAGAACCACATTTCCGTATCAGGTGAGCCCCTGGGGTGTTCTTCACAAACCTCTTCTCAAGTTCTGCCTCTCATCCAAACATCCCAATATGCTGGGATGGTTTTAAAATGGCCCAATAAACATACTCAAGAACAAAAACATCTATTATTATGCAGGCAGAAGGAAGAATACAAGGTTGCCTTTCCCACTACAATAACAAAAGCAGATATACAACCAAGAGCAAACCCTCCCACCCCTCCAAACACTAACATCAGATGAGAAAGTGGAACTACCAAAGCAGTACGGAATCATAACTTTTATTTACTTCTATTAAAACATTTAAATCCTACTATTTTAGTAAAAGAGAACCACTTAGGGCAGATTGCAAAGTTGTGAATTTTAATTTTGTAAAAACAACAAGGAGGGGCAGGAAATGAGCTCAGGAGACAGAGTCAGTCGTTTGTCACACATATCAAAATCCGGACCAAAAAAAAAATCTTCAGCAAGATTCAAAACAGAACAAGGGAGGGAGGTGTCAACTATGGAACAAGACATTCCATAATTTTGGTGCAGTCGTTGAAAAGGCCCTCCTTTCACTCAAAGCGCTTCCAACACAGATGGAACTCAAACAAGTGATTGTCTTCCTTATCCTAGGGTATTGACAGGATGATGTGGAAGGATATTATCCTTGCTAGCTCTAGGTTATTTGTGACTTTAAAAGTAATCACAAGTACTTTATGCACTACTGTAATTAGATCATGGTGACACGCTGCACACCTTTAAAGAGCACTTAGAAACCGCCATTACCCCAAAATTCAGCTGCTGGGCTGCTAACTGGAACCAGTCTCCGAGTAACCACCCTTATACTTAAATAACTGCTTTCGTCCATTTTAGAGTCCAATCCAAAGTTCTGGTACTAACCTCTGAAAGTTTTACACAGCTCGAGAATAGGTACTAAGGGACTGCACACCAAAAGCATCTTCACAAGCCCTCCTGAAGTGGCCACTGCAATTCAATGCAAATCAGGGGTTGCCTAGAGTTTCTTTCAGTCACATGTATTCTTTTTTAGTTTTTCCTCCCTCTCTCTTCTTCTCTTTGCCTTCTTACACGTTTTAATTTGGTAAATCTAATGACTTTAGGCTATTTTCTTCCTGCTATTGTTTAATTATGCATTTATTATTTTGATTCTTTTATATGTGAGTTATCCTGAAAATACCTAAGAGATAGTGCAAAAATTCAAAAACATCAATTTGAAAATGAAATGAATTAAGTAGAGATTACACATGAGTCATGGAGAATGTGGCTCTAGAAGTCTAATTCCAAGCCAGTATTCCACAGTGAGGAAGACCTACATGCACTCAACAGTTGACCAGGTCACTGTGCTACACTGTTCACTCTTGAACAATGTTTATTTATTTATTAAATTTGTACCCCACCCAATTAGACAACATCTACTTCGGGTGGCTTACAACAGAAATAGCATAAAAGCAATTAAAAGCAGCAATTTAAAACAACAATAATGTTCTCCTTCGCTAACTATGGAAGTATGAACCCATAGCCCTGTGTGTCAAAATATAATGGAAGAATCAAAATACAGTATAATGGAAGAAGAGAAAAAGGGAGAAGGGGTTGAAGGTAATGTCAGCACTGGCTGATCTGTGAAGGAGGTTCTCCTCAAAGAGGAGGTACTAAATGTATAAAAGTAGTATAGCACTGCAACCTGCAATGATCAGAATGGTTAGGTTACTGGACTGGGTGGATTCTCTCACACACTCATCCACACCCACACCCACATGTCTCAAAATAAGGTGGGAATGTTTTTCTGTGCTTTACTTTAACCTAAACAGAACAAGAGATTTCACTCTGAATTTGACCCGGACTGGAGATGTCATCACCAAAAAATTGATTTCTATAAACTGTAAGTGAATGACATGAGATGGTAGCATCTCTCCATAATTCTCCTACGGTTTCTTGATCATTTCTGAAATATTAAGATGTGAAATTTTACAGAGTTTAACACTTAAGGTGGATGAACCAATCCCAAATAGCAGCATCTTAACCCTTACATTCTGTTTAACAGATTAAGAATATAAAGCAGCTCAATAACAAATTACTCTTTAATTTTTAACTGCACACTCCTACTTCTTAATTTAAGTGAATGCTAGACTCCAATGCATTCTTTACGTTGAACTATTTTTAAGAATCTCATCAAAAATACACTTAGCATTAATTTTACATAAGCCAACAGCATTCAGCACATCCCGCTTCAGCACATCCTTGGATACCTGGGTTCATACACTGTGTTGGGATAATGAAGTTCAATAGTTAATGGTCCTTATAATCCATCTTTCCCAGATATAGTGCCCAGCGGATGTTTCACTGTATAGGTCCCAGAACCCCAAACAATTAATCATGTCATCCCTAACTGACAAAAAAAAAAACAAACACGCTATGTGAAGATTAATCCAACTCAATAATCATCTGACCATCACAAGAATTTTGGCCCAACAGTTCAACTGTTGTGTAATTACGGAGACCTGGGTTGAAACTCTCATTCACCCACAATGTTGACAGGGCAACTGAGAGTGAGTTGTCAATTCTGAACCTAATCTACTGTGCAAAGGTGAAAATAATGATGAGAAATATACTGTTCCTTCAAGAAAGGGGGGGGGGTTACATCACCCTGACTGGCAGTGATAGCCAAAGTCTCAGACATCGGTCTCTTTCAGATCTGCTCCTTAAAACATATAAATGGGAGATGTCAGGGATTGCATACAAGTTAAAGTGTATGAGCATGGCAGCAGTTTGAAAGCTCCCTTCAGAACACAGTGGTCATTTGCAGCCTCCAGCCACAAACTGAAGATTGCAACACTCTAGCTACCTGGAATGGACAATATATTCTTGTCTCTGCACAGCTGGACACTAAAGATTGCCATCTCTTTACGTGATCACAATCACCACTATCAGAGAAGGGCAGAGTGTTCAATTCTACATGATACTGCATTTCTTCTAGGAAATCAACTTCTCTCACTGTGATTTTCCTGTTACCACTTCTCCATAAAATGAACATCCTATTAACATTAAGTTACATGGAGCCCCACCTTTATAAGTGGACAAGTATGTAAATATGCCTTCGAATCAACTAAACACACAACCATTGGGTAGAGGTCTGTATTTGTGCCTGACATATTGTGCAACCTGGATTTCAAGTCAGATTCTATCAGTATGTCAGTTACAAACCACATGCCAATTATATTTACTACCGCTTTTAAAAACCAAACCATGCTGATGTTCTTCATCAAATCCCCATCTTGCCTACATTTACCCCAATTTCACAGTTATTTGTTTACTGAAGTTAGCCTTTCAGCGTACAAAACTCATATTGAAATAAAATCAACAACATTTGAAACAGTTGAATAAGGATTAAAATGCAGAAAAGCCACCAAGTGGACGAGGTAACCTTTTTTAAATGAAGCAGTGAAATGAAACAGAAAAAGTCAAGCTAAAAAAAATTCAAGTAATTCCCATTCATTTGTCTCCCCCCAAAAACATGCATGCATTTAAAAATAATGTTTCCGGTCAGGTGGGGAGGGGAAACCCACAGCTGATTGCTTCCATACACGACCAGAATACAACTGTTTTGTTTTCAATTTCATGCCAGTCCTCCACGCTCAACAGTAGCAACTTCATTCATCAAAAGCAAACGGGAAAAATGCATTCAGAAACCAAATATATTGCAAGAAAAAAATTAAGTTCATTGTACCTTTAGCCCAGCATATTGGGAATGGGCTACAGCCGGTTTTCTCCATATAGATAACACCTGCTTTTTTCGGGGCCTGCTGCCCTGTTATTTCCAAGAACAACATACACACAATCGTATAGAGATCACGTCAGGCTCCAGCATACAATGTTCCAATTCAGCTCTCCAGTAAGTAGTATGGGCTCCAGCAGGGGGGCTGGGAAGCCAGCCACTTGAATGTGGTCAGGAGCAGGAAGAATCAACTACTAACCTTCCTCACATTTAGTCTCTTTCATTCAGGTTTGGCTGCAGAGGTGGAAGCCAAAGGGGGAGGGAGGGGAGAAAACACACACACACACACACTCCACCCCATTCCATAGTGCTCCTCTTGTAATATATTCTGACAGCATGAAGAATGCCTTTCAGTTTCAGAGTCGTCTCATGCCTCGACAATTTAAAACGCAGACCATCCTTTTCCCTGGACAAGCTAGTGAACAGAATGCAACCAGCCAGCAGTGTGACTGTGCGCGTCTGTATTCCTAGATTCATTCAGGGGAGGCGGGAGAGGCAAGAGGGAGGGAGGGAAGAAGGGCGATTAGCAACAACCTTATTAATATGCTAATCTCACCCTTCTGTTCAATTCAGCCAGCAGACTCCTGTTTACAAAACTGACAGCAGATTCTAAAACTGACTAAGCTGCAAATCAAGCCTGACCCAGGTCAGAGCAGTAGCTCCTCTCCTGTAACCATTTCAGTTTTAAATTCATGCCTCTGGCCTCACACCTACCTACAGCAACATTTGATTTGCACCAAGTATGAAGCAAGAACAATTGAAGGAGAGCAAGGAAAGGATTTGCATTGAACAATGAAGGGCTTAATTACATAGTTATGTTTCACTTAAAAACAATTCAATTAAGAGCACCATGTTTTCTAAATAATACAATGTGCAAGGGTTTCAAAATATTATTAGGTATATCTAGAGAAAAGATTGTAAGAAAATCCTTATGTACTCACTTTTTAAAAAAAATTAAGTTGAGAATGGAGACAAGAGGTAAGAATATGAATGCATGAAAAGAAGAATGCACATATGAAAAGAAACCATGTCTATTCATCTTCCTGAAACAGACCACAGTTCAAAATCTCTGATAGCTAAAACGAAGCAAAGGTCATTTACATATGGTTATCTGTACCCACTGCCATGGAAATAAAAAAGGTTAGCTGAAGAGAGAGTTCCTTCAGTTTGGCACACAGTGGAATAGAGAATAGCTATGATAAATCCGTTATTTAAATACATAATGCAGAAAACAACACAAAGTGCATAGGTATAAAATTGTTATCTTTCTACTTGTACAACATAAGACACCTTTTTAGAAAGTTATTCTAGTAACTGCTGAATTTAGGTGGCTTCTTTTAGAAGTGTCCAAATGCAGTTTTACAAATGTAGCTATACTACAAAACCCTTGCTTCTTGCTCCCAAATGTGAAAGCGCTTACTAGTTAACTTAAAGTTGTATGTGTTGAACTGCAAATGGTTCTGCAAGTTGTTTTAAAAACATGTATCTGCCATCACACCTATCTACAGCAACATTTTGTTTGCACCAACTATTCCATTGATTTGCATCAATTATTCCGTGCCCAGTGTAGTATAGTGAACAGATTAGGACTCAGGAGACCTGAGTTTGAATCCCTGCTCATCCATGGAAACTCATTGGAGGAGATGTCAGTGGGTAACACCACTCCTAAAATATACCAGTTAAACTGAAAACGCGACTAGGTCGCTATAAGCTGTCTCTGACTTGACCAGACAACACATAAAATGTATTCTGATTAAACAATAACAATTTAATTAATTCTGTTATTTGTTCCCAAAATGCAGGTTTTACATAGATTTTCAATCAACAGATTCAGGCAGCAAACTAGTACTGTAACTTAATTATAATTAAGCATACTTAGCTCGCTCCTTTACAGGACATGCACTGCTAACATCCCATGGCTACTGCCATCCGGGTTGTTATTGCAACTGCACAAATACTTTTGTTAGAAATTTCCAAGATATTTGCTTATTAAGAGAAGTTAGGAAACAATATACCAAAGACCTATACAGAAGGAACAAAAGGAGGACAGACTCATTTGAAGACGAAGCCTATGGTGAAGAATATGAAGTTTTAGAAAATGAAGTGAAAGCTGCTCTAAAAGCATTAGGAAGAAATAAATCACCAGAGCAGATAGAATAACAATAGAATTGTTTCTGTAGGCATCCTTCAGTCTCGAGAGACTAGGGTAACGTGCTTTGAATAGAGGTCTTGGAACAGTGTCTAGTGTGGCTGAGAAGGCCAATTTGAGAGTGACGATCCCTTCCACACTGAAGACAAATACAATCTCTCCCCTGTCCAGCTCCCTGGTTTTGCTGCTTTTGTGACTGCCTCTTTGCCTCTGCCCGCTGAACAAATGTCTCTTCAAATTGGGAGAGGCCGTGCTGCACCACCTGCCTGCAGGCTGCACCGCTCAGAGATCAAAGTTTCCCATCTGTTGAGATCCATTCCTAAGACCTGCAGATGATTCCAGTCCCCAAGAGAGGAGATGCCAAGCAGTATAGCAACTACAGGACCAATGCTCTAACTCCCCATGTGAGCGAAGTGATGCTCAAAGTGCTGCAACAAAGAATTTTACCTTAAATGAAGCAAGAAACACTTGATGTTCAAGCTGGATTCAAAAAAGCAGAAGAAAAAGCATTTGAGATGATATTGCAAAGAATCACTGGCTACTGGAAAGCACCAAAGAGTTTCAGAAGAAAGTCGGCCTATGTGTTATACACTACAGCAAAACTGTTGACTATGTTGATCAGGACAAGCTATGAGTTGTTCTCAAAGAAATGGATGTGCCTCTCCACTTGATTGTCCTGAAGCATAACCTATATTGTGGGCAAAAAGCTACCGTTAAGACAGAATAGTTCCTTATAGACAGCGGTATTGGACAAGAATGCATTTTACCTCCCTCGGCCTATGTGTTATACACTACAGCAAAACTGTTGACTATGTTGATCAGGACAAGCTATGAGTTGTTCTCAAAGAAATGGATGTGCCTCTCCACTTGATTGTCCTGAAGCATAACCTATATTGTGGGCAAAAAGCTACCGTTAAGACAGAATAGTTCCTTATAGGCAGCGGTATTGGACAAGAATGCATTTTATCTCCCTATCTGTTCAATCTGTACACAGAACTTATACAGAAAGCTAGATTCAGATGAAGGAGGAAAACTTGAGGTGGTAAGTGTTTCAACATTGGAGGCATTAAAGAGAAAATTAAGACAGACATACCTCATCAGATATGTTTTGATTTGGATTCCCGCACTGAGCATGGGGTTGGACTTCATGGCTTTACAGACCTCTTCCAATTCCATTATGTACTATGATTCTAAGAACAGATACACTGGAAAAGTTGAAGGCAGCCGGAAAGATTTAATGCCAGGGAAGAGAGGAATAATTTATGTATGTTCACACTGAAAGATGGGGATTCAAACAGTTAATTTTAAGTTAGTGTTTTAATTTATGTTACATTACTCGTTTAAAAACCTCATCATAATGAATCTGAAAAATCTTGTGCATGATATTACAGTTCATGAATTAACTTTCAAATCAAGCTAAAGCTTTAAATGTGCACTTAAACATGTATAACTTAATTGGAATCTGGATGGATGTTTGCTTATACTATTTATTTAATATTTATCTTTTTACTCTACTTTTCTCTCAATGAACTGAACACAATATACATCACTCACCACCTCCTTCTTTTATCCTTACGACCACATTATGAGGAAAGTCAAGCTGAGAAAGAGGGTGTAGCCCTAGGTCACCCAATACGTTTCACAGCTTTCAGAGACTTGAACATGAATTTTCCAAGTCCACTAGGCCTCTGGTGGCAACTACGGTAATTATGATCTCATTTTTTAATAAGTGACTGCTGAAATTTCACAATCTTCTGGACACAACTGTTTTTTAAAATGTACCAAGATGAATTTTTCGCTCCATAGGACGCACCTTTCCATAAGACGCACCAATTTTTTAGGAGAAGAAAACAGGAAAATATAATCTGTTTTCTTCGCTCCATAAGACGCACAGACTTTCCACCCCCGTTTTGTGGGGGAAAAGTCCGTCTTATGGTGCAAAAAATATGGTAAATTATGATACCACTGCTTAATTTCAATCGTATCTATAGTTGCTATCAGACTCTCACTGTCCTCAGCAGCATTGCTTCTCACTTCTCAGAAGGAAAGAAAAAACTGGAATACCTGCATTCTACCACTGCTGGGCAATCTATGAAGAGTCATCCTCTGATTTTGCACTAGATAGTATCCCACATCTGCAGGCAAAAGTGGATCTGCTGACACAACTGTTGTGCAGGCTAAGAAAGGCTGGAAGAGGAGCCCAAAAATGTTAGGGAAGGGGAGGAATGGGAAGGAGCACAAAGAGAACTGCTACATAACTCAGAAGGTTAGGCATCTGGCTGTGGAGCCAGAGTTTGGGAGTTTGATTCCCCACTGTGCCTCCTTGATAGCGGCTGGACTCAATGATCCATAGGGTCCCTTCCAGCTCTGAAGTTCTAAGATTATTATAATAATTATTATTAAGATGCAAATCAGTCACAGGTCAGAGTCACAGCCATTCTGCTGGCACACAGATATGTCAAAGCCAAGGCAGTCCTAGTTAATTTCCAAAATCATTTGGAGGAAGAGAATTTGATTGAGCGCAACCTCAGCTGGACTAATGTCAGTTTAGTCAGCCTGGCTAGTTAGGTCTACACACCTAATTGCCTGTAATACATTTGCCTTTTTCCCATGACCTGCAACAGCAACAGAAGAAAAAGTTAAGTCCTAAGTACTGCGGGTCTTGATGTACAAGACATCCCCACTATTTGAGAAATAATCTCTCAATAGAATTCCATTAAAAACACCACAACGAGAACTTAAGGCCAAAGCCATAGTAAGAAGGTAAGGAGAAACATCATTATGTGTATATGAGAAATTATAAAAGAAAGAACTAGGAATAGCCACTGAAGGATGAACTAAGACAAACATCTGTGCAGAACAAAACTGGGGCTCTGAGATGCAATATACATAAGGGCATCAGAAGACGGTGACACAGATATTGGCACACTAACCAAGAATACCAAGCACTATAAACATTTCCTTTCTTTAAGAGCATGTTCAACAACAATAAAGTTGCTCACAAAATTGGACTTATATACAGCCCCATAGCGCTATAAAGCTGCTCACAACTGAAATCCATTCCTGATCTCAAGAGTTATACAGAATCTGTCAACAATCTGTCTCGGGGTGTGTGTGTGGGGGGGGAGAAAGATACCTACATTTTCCAAAGCTATTGTGTATAAACAAAGTCCATCAAGTCACAGGCCAATGCTATGGCCATATACGCACTACAGCCCAGCGCTTGACCTTCCAAGGAACGCTCTCTAAATGAACTGTAGCTGCCCTGCCTCAAAACAAATTGCGCAAC